GTCCATTCAGAGTGCAGGAGCCCAAATCAGTCCCTCTGCTATCACATTTGGTCATTTCATCTGTGATTCTTGTAGGTGCCCAGCCTCTGCTTCTTTGAGGACACACTGGCTTGCTGGAGAAGCCGGGCAGAAGGCCTGGGAGAGCCCCATTCTGGCTTTGCTGGGCACTGTAAGACGCGGCACCGCACTACGAATGGGAGACACCACACGACACAGATCACCGGAGAGGTTCCGCTTTATTACAAAAGGCTGTGTGTTTATATAGGTCTAAGAGAGGGAGCAGGGGCTGAGGTAGATAACAGGTCGCCCGTTTATTGGCAAGCTCTTCCATATGTCAGTTTTTACAAATGTAACTTTGGGGTAGATTCCTAGGCAGCTGGGTCAATTAATAAATGCATATGTAATTTTGCTAGATATCACATTCTTCTGCATACTGGTTGTGCAATGTCCCATTAGCAATATTGAAAGGCTGGGGTTGTGGCTCAGTGGTAGAGCGCTTGCCTAGCAAGTGTGAGGCACTGGGTTCAGTTCTCAGCATTGCATTTAAATAAATAAATTAAATAAAGTCCCATCAACAACTAAATATATGTATATATATATTTAAAACAATATTGGAGATTGTTTTCTCTAGGTTTGTCAGTAGTATCTTGTCAAAGTTTGGACTTTTGTCACTGTGTTAGGTAAGAACTGATATTTCCTGTTATTACCATTTATAGTCACCTTACGAGTGAAGTTGACTCTTTTATTTTGTATTTATAAAGGTTCCTGCATGACTTTGTCTACACACTCTTACTACTTCTTGCCCACACACTCTTACTACTTCTTGCCCATTGTTGATTGTGCAGTTGGACTTGTGTGGTCTTGCTGTGGAGTATTAGCTTGACTAAGAGCTTTTAAGAGCGGAGTGTCCATCGATCAAGTTGCTAGCTGTGATGAACGCCCTTCTGTTGCTGAGACCTTGGGCAAAATCTGCCTCATGTGTTAACCCTCCTCTTCCTATCCTTTGTGCCTTTCTCTTTGACCTCTTACATGTGATAACTTTCTGTTATTTTTCTGTGCTGTATTCTGGGTAATTTTCTCAGAAGCCTTTTCCAGTTCATTAATTCTCTCTTCAGTAGTTTTCAAACTTTTTACAATAGTTGTAGATGGACACAATACCTTTATTTTATTTATTTTTATGTCATGCTGAGGATCAAACTCAGTGCCTCACCCACGCTATGCAAGCACTCTACTAATCAGCCACAATTCCAGCCCTTTAAACTGAGTTTTAACATTTTCATTGAATTTTTAATTTCAAAAATTATATCACTTCTACTTTATTCATTTCCAAATCTTCCTATTCTTTTTACATAGTACCTTGTGACCTTTTTTGTTTTGTTTAATTTCTCTACTCATTTTTGTTGCTCTTAGAGTCTTTGTAGTTCTTTGACTTCTAATCTTTCGCTCCATTGTATCTACTGATTCTCTTACACAGTAACTTGTTTCCATTGTCTGTTAGGTTTTGAATTGTAAATCATTGTCCCTCAGCCATTGACTGTGAGCATTCTGTGTGGCCTGGAGTGAGGACATTTCTCTCCAGGGAGCTTTGTCACCAGTCAGAAACCCATTTTTATGTTAATTTACCATTAAAGGAATTTCTCTAAACCAGTAAGTAGTATATATTTGCATCTCCATCCACCATAAGGGCAGATCTATGGTTATAAATTTGAAAAGAGGCCTTTTTGTTCTTACCCTGCGCTCAGGATATTGAATTCCTTACCATCTTCCTGTGGGTGAGGTTCTTCCTCCTAGTCTATAATTGAGATCTCAGACCTTCAGAGGTCCTGTTGGTGGTCTCAGTTCGAATCCCTGTTCCACAAGGTTGCAAAATCTTGACCCTGATTCCTGTTTGCCAAAGTCCCCTTTACTGAGTGCAGCATCCTCGCCCAGGACTGCCACAAATTCTGTGCACTCTGCTCACTCATGACTCTCTTTTGTCTCTTTATGTGTATCCTCTGGAAAATCCCCTTCCTCTTGCAACCCTGGGTGGTAATGTCCATGTGCCTGCTTCAGTGGTTGGCACTAAACCAAATGCCTGCTGCTTGTCTTCTCAGCTTATCTTGTTTCCTTTGGCAGAAATTTTCTTTATGATGAAACAAAGACATCCAAGGTCCAGGTGAAGTCCAGGCATCTTTCATCCAGAAAGACACCCAAATCCTGGAGCACCTTCTCTAGCAGCGAAATTCATCAGCAACTGGAATAATGTGTGGTGGGTCAAGCTAAAGGAGATTTGGATAGTCCAGGGCTGTGCCCCTAACTGTGGAGGGCCCATACATACATGACTATCCTTGAGTTTCAACAGCTCTCACAAAGCAGCTGGCTATTGACAAGAGTACTGTTTTCTATAAGATTCCACATCTTTGCCCTGTATGTGGAAACTCCTCCTACATTCTGGAAACAGCTGGGGACTGAGTTAGTTTGTCTACTACCTGGCAGTATGCAATGGATCCCTCACTGTATATCTGAGTACAGTCTCTATAAAATGAAGAGACTACACGTCTGCTTACTTCTAAGGAGTTAGCCATGGCTTCAAAAACTAAAAACAAATGTAAACCGACTTATACATTTATTCTTTGAGGTTAGTGTGATTTTCATTCGAAATCCAGATAAGGACAGTTCAAGAAAATAAATCAGTTCATTTCTAAAATTCATATAAAATAATTGGAATAGAATCCAAAATGGACATAAAAAGTAATACTACATCATGTTCAAGTAAGAATTCTTTCATAAATGTCTTAGCAGCAGAAAAATCAGTGTAATCTATCAGAGACAAGTAATATTGACAAATGCAGTAAAATAATTTTACTAAATTCACCCTCAAATTATAATGTAAAATTCTCAACCCCAAACCAACCTAGCAATTGAAGGGTTCTCCCCAAATTCAATAAACAAATGTATGTTTTTCCCCACACGGAGAAAAACTGACATATTTTCATTAAGATTTAGAATAAGAAAAGGGCGCCCGCTCACCCCCATTCCAATAACAAACATTGGAGATTCTGGTTAATGTCATGAAAAAACTGAGAAAAAAGATTAGATACAAACTTAAAGGAAGAGAAGGGAAAGCGACCTGGCCTGCCTTCTTCTGACCGCACAGTTTATCTACCCCCACGCTCCAATGTCCATCTCTTTAAGGTCCAGCATCCTGTCTGAACTTTTTTCAAAATCCAGGATAGCATCTAGTGTCACTAGTGGGTGTGAATTTGCCAAGGGGGTCCCACCCCGGTTCTGAGGTGGTAAAAAGATGAGAGCGGCAGGTGGAAATGACTGTCCACGCGCTAGAGACGCGACCTTCCGTGACCGTGTCAGTTTTGGAAGTTGCATTGCCCTGGCGCTCACCCCGCGGTGTTCCTGGGTCGCAGCGCCCAGACCCCGAGGCCCACCAGGACAGAGCGGCGAGCCGCGGTCCTCACGCCGGCCAGCAGGTGGCGCCCGGCCTCCACTGAGCGACCCTTGAAGGGCGTGCGAGCTCCGCGCAGGAGAGTGCCCCCAAAGGTGCCGCTTGTCCTCGGCTGCGGAACTCTAGGTCGTGGTCCAAGCGCTGCAAACTGTGTCCGGCGCCCGCCCCGCCCCGCGGCCCCGAGGCCCCGAGTTCTAGGCTCCCGGCCGCGGACTGACTCCATCGGTTCGAGCCGACTATGCGCGGGTCCCCGAGGACGGGGGCGACGAGGGGCTGGCGTCTGCCTCCGGCCCGGAGGAAAGGACAGGGGGCCCGGCAGCGACCTGTCTTCGCACTTCTTGCGCCCGTCCCGCAGGGCCCCAGCGCGCAGGGTGGCGGGTCGTGCTGGGCCAGCAGCTGGCGACAGGTGGCGGGATCACAGGTGACCGGTCTAGAGGGCGGCCTACATGGGCCCTGGCCCCGCTGCCCAGGTGCGGCGGCCACAGCCCGCTTCCCTGGGGTGTGACTGCCAACCGCGATCACCCCGATCACCCCGCGGTGCGGTACGGCGCGGGGTCCGAGCCCCGGTGGCCCGCAGCCGCCCGCCGGCCGGTCCCGAGCGCGGCGGGACCCTGGCCGCCGCTCCCCTCCCCCGCAGTGATGGATTCGGTGTCAGGGGCCAGGAAACGCCAACGCCGCCGGGTAGACTCGGTGGCGCCACCCAAACACCTGCTCGGGCGAGAAAGTGGCTCCAGGTGAGATCGTACACCCCCGCCCTGGACCCGCCGCTTCCTTCCCCAGGTGTCCTCCTCGCACCAGCCTTCCAGACCCCCCCCCCAGTCGTTTCGCCGCGGGACGGAACATAAACACGCGGGTTCTAATCACCTACCAGAGTTTCATACATACTCGAAGGTCCCAATGTCGCCACCCGAGCGGGGAGGGAACAGCCGCGGTCCACTTCCCTGACTTGGACGGCCTTTCTCTCCCCACCCTCCTTCCGTTACGGTCCAGGGCGGCAGCGAAGGGTGAAGGGCGCTTTAAGTTGTCAGTCTGGGAAAGAAGCCGGCCCAGCCTGGGTGAGCTACAGGTAGAGGGCCAGGGGAGGCCCAAGGAGGCTGCTGACTGCAGGGCCGGGGTGCAGCCGAATTCCCACCGGCAAACAGTGAGACCCAGAATTCCGGGGAGCGGATGCTTTCGGAGGAAGGAGCACTTTCACCTATTCCGAGGGGCCTTCACACCTACTGTCTCCCTAGATCCCACATTTGGGTGACCTAACCCGTAGGAGCCACGGCCCACAACTCATTCTTAAATTCTGCCCCACAGCACAGAATCAAGTTGTCCCTTGAGGACTAACTGAAAACTTTTGGGTGTACCGCCTTCCCAGTACCCATCAATTCTCCTAAACAGTAGCAGCAATCCTTTGCTCCAAGGTGCTGGAACTGATCACACATGTGATAAGGACATTCTCTGCACGCAAGTCCCCAGGTGTGAGCAGCAGAGGAAGAAGGGGTTCGATCAAATGATGAGTGAGAACAGCCACGGACAGAGCAAGAGACCTTAAAAATAATTCAGAATTCAGGTATTGACTTCAGACACATTTTATTATAATCTTAATACAGTCTACATAAATTTGAACTTGTATTTATTTGGGTTCAGTTATAACATAGCATAATAAAAATCAAAGCACTGGTCCTCTGAAATAAAGCAGGCAATCACCATTCAATAAACACACTTGATTTATTTTGTATAAAAGGGTTAAGTTTACAACTAAACTTTTATAAAAAGTTTAGCATGAATAAGTACATCATTACACTTTTAATGCAGAAATATACATCTCTGCCACTATACAAGAAAACTCTAATTAAAGAGTTCACAAGGTTTCACTCAATATATATATATATATTTATGTATAAATATATACACAGCATTCAGTAGGCTTGCGTCAAAAAGGTAATTTCTGACCAAAAGACTTCATTTAAGTAACTGAATACTGACTCCTTCTGGTATTCACGCTCCACCTTTGAAAAAAGGCAAAGTCTGCTTAGATTGGGCAATTCCTTGTGATTTTAACGTTTTCGCTCCCCATGGTGGGAATAGTATATAAAGAAAACCTTCCAACTGCAGAAAGGGCATTTAAAAGTCTTTTTCATAAATAACGAATATCACAGTCCAGGACAGAGAACACCCTGGGAAGATGATCATTCTTAGTTTTCCTTCCATTTGTTTTTCTTTTTAAAAAGGTCCATTCAATTTGTCCTCCTGGTGAAATGGTTGAAAAATAAGTTCAGCGCCTTAAAAGATCCTGTGGATTTGTTGTTGCTGTTGTGCAAAAAGAAAAAAAAAAGAATAAAAAGAAAAAAAAAAGTTATGAACACCTGCAAAAGATCGGGAGAGAAAGGCATGTTTAGGAGAATGTAACCCAAGGGCAGAGGCCGGCAGACTGGCGCCGAGGAAGCCACAGTTTGAACATTTAACCAAACACTGGGAGATTGGGCAAACCCTGGCGTCCAGATGCAACGCACACACTGGGCCTCAAGACAGCACAAATTAAACATGAAAATAGCAGAGACTCAAGGGAAAAACTTCCCAACCCAATCTCCTATTTGGATCTCCAACAGCAGTGTTCACAGGCGCCAGTCTGCTTCTTGTAACAATTATTTGATTGAAAACAGCCCTTTAGTTAACAGATAGGGAAGTCTGCGATCCCAAAGCAAAGGGGCTAAGGCACAGGGTAGCAGTCCTCAGCTAGTCCAGAGAATCCCAGAGAACTGCAGTTTTAGGGAAGGAGGATCACTATGGAATTTGTGGTGATAAGATTAATTACAGTGGAGGTTAGTACCTCATAGTACTGGAGAATAGTGGGAAGAACCAGGGCATTGCATTCGCTACAAAAGCCAATAGACACTCCTTAGCCACCGCCAAGGTAAGTTACTGGTGTCATTTTTTTCTTTTCTTTTCTAAGGAAAATGTTCTGTGATCTTGAGGAAGCAGAGTGACAAGCCCCTTCACATCTGGCGAGAAAAGGTAGTGCCCTTCACACAGTGAAATAAACATGGGTTTACTAAATCAAACATTTTGCAGATACACAAGCAACATGGCCCAAGCAAATTACAAAAAACGCATGCACTTGTGCGAGCACACAACACACACACACACACACACACACACACACATATTAAGAGGCACAAGCAACACTCACCATTTATTCAGCCACAGAGTGCTTTGCTGTCATTTGACATTAACTCAGAAGGGAATTCAGAAGCCTGGAGAGGAAAAGGATAAAAGGCACGAGGTTAGACAATCTTAAGGAGAAAGGATCTCGTATTAAAATTATTATCATTAAAGTACTCTACAGAACAGCAAGTTCCCTTAAACACGTTTATGCTACAATTCAGACTCATGCATTAACATGTCAGAACTTATTAGCGATTTCACACACGGCTCGATCTAGAGCAATTTTTGAGAAAATAAAGTTAATTAGCTCATGTGTAAGTCACGGTCTTGACAATGGACCGACTAGTGACAGCCCTGACGATCGCTGGAGTGTGGGGCGGCAGAGAGAGGGCATCAGGGGCAGTCTTACCTGCAAGGACAGGATGCTGATGTCCGTGTTTAGGGTGGTCAGCGGCGTCCTGGACGCCTGGTTCTGTCCCGGTCTCTGGTGGTGCAGGCTAACAATAGTGGGGTGCGAGTCCAGGGCGATCTGCAGGTCCAAGATGTAGTCGATGACGTGCTGCAGGATTTCCATCTTGCTCACCTTCTTGTTCTGGGGGATGCTGGGCACCAGCTCCTTGAGCTTGGAGTAACAGTCGTTCATGTTGTACAGCAGGCTCATCGGGTCGTCCACCGGGGTTTTGCTCCGGGAGATGCCCAGGCTGTGGTCTGACAGACTGTTTTTCCTAACGGACCTCACTGGACTGAAGGCTTTCATGCTGACCGCAGTGGAAGGAGAGACCGGGAGGGAGCGGGCTGCCCTGGAGCTCAGGCCGCCGCCGCCGCCTGCTGAGCTGGCTGCGCTCGGCACCAGGATCTGCTCAGAATGAAGCGCGAGCCCGGCGGGGCGGCTTTTATCCGCCCTCGCCGGGGCCACACGCTCGGTCTTCCCTTCGTCTCCATTGGCGGAAGGCGGCGAGTCCATCAGACTGAGCGAGCGCTCCCATTGGCGGGCGCGGGCGCGGGGCGAGCGCTCGGTCCTTCCGCGTTCGCAGCCAATCCCCGCGGGGTGGGCGGGGCGGGCGCGAGCCCAGCTGGGCTGGTAAATAGAGTACTGTAAACGCCGGGCGGGAGGAGGGGGCAGACCCCGGGCTCGGAACGGCGCCCGTCATTCTCATTCCAAATGCCCGACTGGACGCTCGCTCCGGGGTGTGCCCTAGAAGCCTTTCACACCTTGGAGATTTCAGCAGCCCCAAAGTCGGAACGACTAGGGCAAGTTCAGCACAGCCTGGGGAAAGTCACCGTTCACTGCAGCCCACGGGATAACGTCCCGAGAAAGACAGCAAGCAGTTCAGAAAGAGAAAACGCAAATGAGTGTGCCACTGAAAAGTCACATTTGTAGAGGGAGTTCCGTCTTTTAGGATGAGGAAAGCTATGTTTAAGAAAAAAACACCCATGCATGCATTAAAGGACGGGTTTAGTGTGGGATTTTGCAAGCTGGAGCAACTGGGTAAGCACTATTGGAAACTCAGTAAAATGAGTACTTATTGGAAACCAAGCCTAACCTTGCCCTGACCTCTGAGGAACTGTGAGGGGCTTGATACTTACAGGTTTTTTTTTTTTTTTTTCCAAGAACGAGGCAAGACTATTATAATGATCCTATTAATCGGAAATCATTAGCAGAATTTGCATATTGAAAGTACATTTACATACACTGCCCTTGAAAGGCTGTGGGTCTATGCCCTTCAGTGTAGGTGGCAAAGTAATGTGATAATTATGCACATGCAGTGATTCCTGATGTCACATTCCAGCACCTACAGTATTTCTAAAACTCTGGGGGTGTGCCCCAAGAAACCTTTCACCCTTGGAGATTTCACAAGGCCCTGGTAGGTGGCCTTTAGCCCACTGACATCTTAACACTTATTTGTAAAGAAAATTATGTTATTATGAGGATTGGAATCTTTTGAGTACTGGTACTAGATGGGTTTTCAGGGTTGGTTCGTTTGGCTGTAAATCCTTAAAAACATAGTCTTTCAGTCCAGTTAAAAAACATTCATACTATTGATTCAAATATTTTAATTCACACATAATTCTAGCTCAACTTAGGACCACAAAAATCGTATTCCTCTAGAAAACAATAAACTAGAAACCCCCAGAAAACGTAATATTTGTATCTTGCTTACTTTTTGTTTCAATCTCCCTGTCCTCTGCATTTCAGAAAGAGGAAGGAGGCCGAACTGGCGACTAGAAGCAAAGCCCAATAGGGAAACGGTATTTCTTGCTTCAATTAATGATTAATTCCTCAGCTGGTGGGCCAGGCGGTCTCTAACCTCCACGTGACAGCCATGTGCCCCAGGGCTTCTCTCTTGGGAGGCAGATTTGGTGGCCACCTCACTTTGGAGGATGAAGGTGGAGGATTCCTACCCACGGAGAGAGCTGCTGAGTGCCTTCAGAGGCCCTGAAAGCCTAGCCTGCAATTCTGTTCCTGACAGCGTTCGATTAACGTTGCCTCTGATATTAAGTCTGGAAGTGATTTACTACCCGAGTCCCCCCCACAGTTCGAGCCTTTTGATGTACTTTGTGTGCATGTGTTTCTGTCACATACGTGCCACAGTGGAACAGATTTTGTTTTGACACTATTTTGGTTCATGATGTTATACTTTGACTATTTTACAATAATAGCCAATGTAAACAAACATCTTTGGGATTCTCAAATTATTACTTATGATTCTTGGACATTGCAGCTCCGCGATACTGACGCATTCCTAGCTTTTTCCAAGGACACCGTATGTTAACATCCGTGCCAGCCTCATTATCCCAACAGTGAGGCTCTGGGCTGATGGTAATGAGCATTGTGCGGTATTACTTTACGCACTTGCAGAGTTGATTCAGGCAGTGCCTTCTCCCATGATCATTTTTGTACCCTGATGTAGTAAAATTGCTAAATACGGTGAAAGTTTTCTGGTGTTTCTTTCTTTAGCTGTCATGTCGGAGTCCAGTCTGCTCGGCTGTGTTGAATTCGATTTTATTGGCATGCTACCCAGTTTAACATTCATTTAAAGATCATTTTAAGGAGATTATGAAGCTGTATAAGTTAATGATTGAAAAATGCCTGAATGATAGTATGTCTATCTCAGCAAGCCCAAGACGAAATCAACCTTTAAAATTATGTTTTCGTGGGGAAAGCGGGTTGAAGCACTTTCGGGGTGGCTTAAAAAGGCATGAAAAAACTTGCCAATTGGTGTCTACGTGGGTTTGCATTTGAGGGCTCTAAAGTTCAAATGGTCCCAGCTGCGAGAAGGACCCAGCTGCAGGAAGGGCTGGATCCGTGGGTGGTGGGAAGGTGTGAAGGGCTTCCGGCGGGGGGTGGCGAGGCTGCCCCCCCTGGCTTACCCACTGGGTCACCCCCCATTTAAAGCAACAGACCTGCTCTGGAAGTTCCCTGAGCCTGGGTCCCGGGCTTGCTCCCTCACTCAGCCTCCGTTCCAGGCCCCGCCGGCGCCCCCACCGCGTCCAGGCCGCTCGCGGTAATCAGAAGCAGCTCTGGGCCGCCGCGGCCCCGCCGCCCTGGCTGTGGTCCCCGCGTGATGCCACGGGGGGCGGAGGAGCCGGCGGGGCGGGGGCGAGTCTCAAGGTCCTCTCTGCACATCTGGCGCAATTGGGAGCGCTCGCCTTTCTTCCCCCGGTTTTGTTCTCACAGCTGTGTCCATTCCGCCCGTGACCCCCCGAGTGATCCCTGACAGGTGATGAATTGGCAGCAGCGGCGGCGGCGGCGGCTCGCGGGCCAGGCCGCGGAGGGGCCGGAGCCGGAGCCCCGGAGCAGACTCTCTGGCGCCAGGCGCGTGACGCCGCCCATTCACGCCGCCCTGCCGCCTTGTCCTCGCGGCGCCGCTCAGGCGGCTGCCATGGCAACCGCGCCGTCACTCAGCGCGCGCGCCCAGCTGATCAATGCCTGCGAGGCCCGGGCGTCCTAGGCTCGCCCGGCCCGGCCGCCGGCCCGCGCGCACCTGCAGCCTGTGCACGTCTTAAGTTTCGAGTGATTTGGGGGAAGGAAGGAGGGCCGAGAGAAAAGAAAAGGCAGGCGGGCGGGGCGAGGAAAAAACCGGGAGAGGGAGAAGAAAGAAATCGTCCTTTCGCAAAAGGAGGCGTAATGTGGCTTAGAGGTTGCCAAAGCAAAAGGTTTTGCTTTATTTCATTTGTTTTTGCAACCGAGGCATTCCGGGTGGGTCTGGCACGAGGGAAGGGTGGATGGGAAGAAGGTCACTGTCTCAGCTCTGGGCGAGATTTATTTATCCCTCTGGTTCTTCTCGGTCTTTGCCGGGATGGCTTTGATCCCGGACTCCTAAAAATACCTTTGAAGGACCCCCACCCCGCCGCCCACTGTCCTACTGCCTCCCTCTTTGGAATACTGGGAGGTTACGAAAGAAAGAAAGAAAAAACACCATTAGACTTTTCCAGAAGGCCCCCCGCTGCCCCTGGGGAGGCGGGAGGATGTGCAGCCCCCGTCCTCGGCTCCTCGGAGCCTCAGCGTGCCCGCATTTGCGTCCTCATTACCACTACAAAGCAGGGACCAGACTGAGCCCCTTTATAATGCTTCATTTTCGACTGAGAGCATCAAGAGGCCAGAAGCTCCCGAGTCAGCCTGCAGACGCAGACGCCTCCTCGGTCCCGGCTTTATCTCCAGGGAAAGTTCCATTTTAAGAACCAGATGCCAACATTCCCGGACAGTTTATGGCATCCGGATCCCTCAAGGGTGCTCATCTGCAGTTCAGAGTGTTGGTAGCAATTATTTATCGTCTGCCCTGGAGAGGAGTTCCTGAACATAAATGTCCTCTGCTGGCCCTAAAAACGGAAAGGGGCGGAGGGGGGGGGTGGACGACGACGACGCACAACTGGCCTGTCCTGTTATCTGGTTTCGCAGAGTTTGTTGTGGTTTTCGAGGAAACAGCATCTGGATTGCATAAGGATTCGAGTTTTTTGCTTTACTTGTTTATTTAATACCTTGGCAAGAGGGAGCCTTTACCCTGAAACCAGATAACCGAATTTGGGTTTAAATCAGCCTTCCATAAGGGCAACGCGCAGGGGGGAAAATGAGAAAAGCCACGAAAAGCAAACAAGAGGATGTTTATTTTTCTCCCTTTGGGTATTCTGAAGACCTGCCTAACCTCTTACACTTCTTGTCTCACACAGCTAATAAATGGCATTAGCAAAGGGCTGCGGCTACTACAATGGCTTAACAGCCGTTCCTTCCCCCGCCCTGCCACGATCCTGGCCCTAATTCCTTATAGGATTCCCCCTTGGTCCTATTTGCCCAGAGCTCTCTAGAGCCCCAGGTAAAACGCCGTAGCAAATCCAATTGATGACAACAGTCTGATCCCCTTTTAGAGGGATCACTTTTCAGCTCGGTTCAAAGAAAGCAGTGTTTGGGAAGTTTGGTGAAGGGGCCGATTTAACTACCAGTACTGCAAAATATTTTGTTACAGATGCTGTGAAGTGCACCGATTTGTGGTTCTGTTTGGCTTTCACAAAGGATTTTCCTGTGCCTTTTGTTCCGGTCACCAAATTAAAAAAGAAAATTAACTCGAGTGAGAGATAAGGTCTTGGAAAACAATCTCAGGCCGCCCGCGAGCTGGCGGGAGCGGGGCTGGCGTCGCAGAGTCTGCGCCGCCCGGAGGCGTGCGTCGCGGGGGTCCGGCCACCGCGGGGAGCCCGGGTCATCGCCCGGACCCCTGGCCGCCGCCCGTTGTGCGCGGGGAGTGCAGCGCCCAAGCCGCCAGGTCTGCCCACCAGCGTCCGTGGGAATCCGCAGCAGCCAACGACAGGGGCGGGCTTGTCCGGAATCAAACTGCATCTTAAAATTGTAATGCGGCACCAAAAGCAAAACCCAGAGT